CAATCCGAGGCTACCCTTTTTAGTGCTCCTTTCGGGACTCTTTTCAGGGTTATGGGCATGCTAAGGTCCTTGCGTGCCTGTAAACTCTAGAGGTCCTGCGCTCCTTCGCCGATCGGCGAGCAGACGAGCTTGCCAACATTCTCGAGTCTGCTCGTGTGCCAGGCCAGCAGCGCAGCGCACATTCGGACCCCATGTCGCGCTTGCACAGGTCACCCTTACTTCACCGATGGCTGGCATCTTAGCGACCAGGGCATGCGAGCACTCTGCAGCACACAGCTCGCAGACATGGCGGAGGACAGGCTGTTGTGAGCGGACATCACCATGGCAGTTGTTTACGAACTTTTGATTGCGCGAGGACTTTGACCTCGTCATCTCCGATTCCACGCTCTGCGTCGTGGAAAAGGAAAAGGCAGCCAGGGCCGTTTCGCGATACCCTTCCCTGACAACCAACGCGTCCGGTTCTCGAAGGCCAAGCAACACAAAGGAGGGGACGGTGGACGCCTCGTGGACGCCCTTGTCTCTGCGCCGGTGCATCCGGCGTGGGGCAGGGGGTTCTACCGGAGTGGCTTCTGTCGACACCTCTGGGACGTCATGGAGGGCAGGACCGAGCCAGTTAAATGTCCTGCGAACGCACATAGCCTTCTCAAGCTACACAACTGTAGGCACCAGGCAAAGTCTTGCTCGTGGTTGCAGGCCGGTGCGGGGCCCTCACTTCGGTTCCTGCTCGCTAGATGTCTGAGGCAATGATTGCTTGATCATGAACGACTGGTGCGCCCCAGAAGACTTGCAGCACGAGATGGAGTACATGCGGCAGGCGACCGAAACTCGCACTCGTTGCAGCTCGTTCCGCAATCATTCCGAGGCTTACGAAGAGGAAGGCGTGCAGCTCCACATCCTGGACGTCGTCCCGTTGAGTTTCCTCCAGGCCAGTCTCGTCGGTGTCGGCACATGTCGTCCTTCTGAAGCCGAGCCCAGGACGACAGCCCGGCGAGGAACTCGGATGAACCCCATCGGGAGACGCAAACCTAAAAACCCACCGAGGCAACAACTGCCGCATGAGCGTTGGACAGAGATCTTCTCGAGCCCTACACAGCATCGCACCCTCCAAATACTGTCCCGTTTCAAAACTTCTTGGGTGGAACATTAAGGAAAAAATCCGGAATATTCAACAGATCTACGGGTGGGACACGAAAGCAAATCCTGCTTCCTCCCTACTCTTTTTGCTCATAAGACTATGGGTGGGACATTAAAGCAATCCTGCTTCAGCATGAGACTTACTGGGTGGGAAACTATAGAGCAAATCCCATCTACCCATGAAGCCTACGGATGCGATACCACAGCAAATGCTGCTAAAAGATCCAAAACAACTTTGTGCAGGAAATGGGGGGGAAGGGGACAGACCACAGATGGCATGAACATGCCTGTTACTGCGTCGAGCCAACTAGTCATCGTGGGCATGTTGCTGTTTTGGCCCTTCAGCAACAACTCCGAGCGACGTGTGTAAGATACGGCTCGTGCCCATCCCTCCTTCGATTAGACAGCTGCTTGTACATCAGTGGAGTTTTCAGTGTTGAAACTATCCTGCACGCAGGTCAACATGTCGAGCATCAGCCAGGCCGCAACAACGCAGTCGCCGGTAAGTCGTATATGTCCGCGAGACATGGTGCTGTACAGGCGATCCGCCAGGCAGCATGGCAGGACGCTGCTATAGTTCTCAGCGACTCCACCCTCTGCACCGTCGTGGTCGGCAAGGACAGTAGAACATGTACATGGAAGGCAGCGTACATATATATATATATATATAGATAGATATACATACATGTATATAAACAGACGAGGTGACAACATGGCACATGTACAGGATGGATCCCAGGGCGAATGGACCCATTGGCGCTACCGCGTCAAAAACGATGGGATCCACTACCAGGTCGAACCCTCATCTGCCCAAGGGTGCTTCGAAGCAGCTCTCGTGATCGGCGACAGAACGTAGCTTCTTATGCATGTGGATGTCGCTGGAGGTTTCCTGACTGCCAAAACTCCAAGTTTAGCCGCAAACCCTAAATCCTAAAGCAAGAGAAGGACCTAAAGACTGAAACCCTCCCCTAAATAAAGCCTGAACTGGCCCTAAACCCTCCAACCTTAAACCCGAATTCACCACCCCCAAAACAATGCGTGGAACGAGGAGCCGCCGATGGAGGAGGAGCCACGAAGGGCGGAGGAGCCGGGGAAGCCTCTTGCCTTCGCTATCGGTTCAGGATTCAGGGTTTAGTGGTTAGTTGTGGGTTCCCCTAAACCCGAAACCAGGGGTTTGGCGGTTCAGGGTTGCCAAACCCTTGGTTGAGGGTTCAGGCTTCAGGGGTTAGGGTTTAGGAGCATTACGGGAGTAAAATAGGGGCCTAAATACTGTTTCGAATTCTTGATTGTAACTTTATAGCATAATATACCTCAAAAAACCGAGACACTTTTGGCAGCAGGGTTTCGGGTTAAGGGCTTGTGGTTCTGTTGGGGCTTGAGTATCCAACGGCCCCCAAGTCTCAAGCTCGAAATGGGTAGTTTTCTAAGTTAGGGTCCCTTTTTAGGTCCCCCAAAAAAGTACGACACCCTTATAACCAGGAGGCTTAAAAGGGATCCTAATTTTAGAGAGCTACCTTAAATGATCTTCCTCAAGCTGCACAGGCTGGTGCTCGACCCATGCCTCGGTCGAGGTGCGAAGAAGGGGCGGGTCTTGGGAAACTTTGCCGGGGTTGCGAGTTTCGGTTTAGGGGGTTTAGGGTGTCGAGGGGGTTTGGGGGGTTGGGAGTTTTGGGGGTTTTGGGGGTTTGGGGTCGTTGGGGATTCTTTGGGGTGTGTGGGGGGTGTTTCGCGTGTTTAGGGTATAGGGGTGAGGTGTCTAGTCGGGCTGAAGGGCCGAGCCAAATCCGCTTTTGTAAACCGTACCAAAACCCCTCGGCCCTTGTAGACCTTACCAAAACTCGAGGACTCAAGTTCCCCTTTTCCCTACCCTAAATCCTAAACCCTAAACCCCAAACCCTGAACCCCCGTTCCCTAAACCCTAAGCCCCTGCAAACCTCAACACATTCTGGCTCCCTGAGGCGAAGTTCTCTGCGCCAAAGTTCCTGAGCTGCAGCTTCTCCTTACGGTTTTGGCCCTAGGCTTTTTGGAGTTTTGGGTTTAGGGTTATGGGCCATGGGTTTAGGGGCTTAGGGTTATGGATTTATGGGCTTAGGGTTTAGAGCTCAGGGTAGTGGCATCAAAGGCATGGATTGAAAACAAACCTACTGCGGCCACGCTTGGTTTTGGCTTTGAGTATGTAACATGCATCATCGTCGGTGTGCAGCACGTGCCTCCTGCTCGCATGTGGCAAAGCAAGCTGTTGTGAGTGGATGCTTGACGACATATACGCTTCGCATGCCGTTTGGTCTTCCGCACTCTTCGTGTACAACAGCCTGAATTCTTAACCCCTCATATACGCTCAACATCCCTAAACCCTAAACCCTCAAACCCCAAAAACCCTAAAACCCTAACAATCCTATAAACCCTACAACCCAAAAAAACCCAAAAACCCTAAAAGCCCTAAACCTCGAACCGTGAGCTCTGGACGTTACAACGTCCCAGCCCTGCTCGGAGGCGCGTCTCGGGCTCGTCCTTGTCGCGGGGGTTTTTCTCATCCTCGGGCTGGGACGGCTCCTGGCCTGGCAGGAGCTGCTTGTTGTTTAGGGCTCAGGGTTTAGGGTTCAGGGTTTAGGATCTAGGGTTCAGGGCTCAGGGTTTAGGATTTAGGGTTCAGGGCTCAGGGTTTAGGATTTAGGGTTCAGGGTTTAGGGTTTAGGGTTCAGGGTTCAGGGTTTAGGGTTTATAGGGTTCAGGGTGCAGGGTTCAGGGCTGTGCTTGTACAGATGGTTTGGCATGCGGTTCTACGTAGAGATTTGTGTGGTGGGGGAGTGCTTCTCCCCAAATTCAGTCCATCTTAGAGGTTCTGGATTAGGTCCCTAGCAACTAAGCCTTGCAGAAATGGGTATCCCGTAAACCTAAACCCTGTACCTGCATCTACCAGAGCTTGTTGGTTCAATGGTGGTAGAGCCGAGGGTTTGCGGCTCAGGATACACATGCTCAGCGATATGATGTAGGGTTTCGTGGTACAGTTGAGGGTTAAGGATGGGGCTTCAACGATTACGGTTTAGGGCTCAGGGTCTTGGGCTTAGGGTTTATAGGGTCGTGAGCCTTTAGGTGCTCGGGTCCTTTTGGATGATTGGGCTTGGGCATCGTGGGTTCTGTTTCGCGAATCGGAATTGAAGCCCAGAGCCTCGAGTGAAAGCGTAGTCCCTTGAATGCTGCACTGCCGGACTGAAGCCCCAAAATCCTGAACTCTCTACGGCTTAAACCCTAGACCCCCAAATCCTAAACTCTTCTAACCTAACCCTTAAACCCTAAACCTCCAAAACCCTTTGAACCGTAGATCATAAGCGTTTGGGTCTTGTTCGGGACCCCAGGGTCGGACTTCGGAAGTCCGATGCTTCCCTGGGACTCACAGGCCGCCCGTAGTCTTCTTTCTTTCACATGTATATGTGTATATATATATATATATGTACACATGCGTATGTAGTTATGTATGTATGTATAAAATGAACAATCATATGTGTAAACATATGTATGTACATATACATAAATATAAAATTAAATAAATAAATAAATAAACAAATAAATAACTAGATAAATAAATACATAAATTTCAACATAGATAGATAAATAAATAAATACATAAGTATAAGTAAATGAATGAATATATATACATACATACATACATACATACATACATACATACATATATATATATATACACTGGAATGTACCCCGCAACTCTACATAGTCTATGGCAACTCTAGTCTATCTGTCATTTACTCAGTAATTAGAACGGATGAAAGAACTCCAAACATCCCTGGCAAAGTGTGCAGGCCCTTGCATTGACCCCGGTTCTGAGGCTTGGCCACAACTGGCTGGAGATGCGCATCGCCCAGGGAGCCGTGCCGCCTATCGAGGCTGGGCCTGGAGTCTACCAGAAATGCACACAGAAAGGCAGAAGGTGCGCACGCAGACGTGCAAATCTGTGTTTCCCAGTGACACGTATTTGCTCGTTTGTTAACTTCTGTCTAAGCAGGTCACGCACATGAAAACACTCCTCTTCCTCTTGCCCACGTATATCTCCGCAAAGTATTGCGGCATGGGCTTCAAGCAAATGCTGAATAACCTTGCTTCTTCAGGCGCGTCTTGCTTGAGGACTCAGGATCCAGACTAGAAGCTCCTTTTCTTCGGGACTTTCTGGCTGAGGCCTGAGAAGGTACTCAAGGTCCTGAAGGCGTAGAATAAGAAGCTGGCACCGCGGATGGCATCGCAAACGACCTTAGACCCATCCGCAGGTTTAGCAGTCGGGATCTTGCCTCCATCCTTAAACCCTAAATGCTAAACCCCAAATTTCGGTGGTCAACCCCCCTATTCTGGTGGACTCTGGGCTTCCGGCCTTCAAAACACAAAGTTTCAACTCCCCAGGGCTGCCGATTTAGTTTTTCGGGTTTAGAGTCCAGGGCTTAGGGTTTAGGGCTGAGGGTTTAGGGCTTAGGGAGGGTTTGGGGTTTAGGGCACCAGAGGCCTTGACGCTGAAACTGCAGACCCTCTGAATGCAGCCGCCCCGGATGTCAAAAAACCTCAAAGCCCAAAGCCATGAGATGTAAAAAGTGCGGCTGTGTTCTGTCCTTCCGCGTAGAGCGTTGCTGTTTTTTGGTTTGAATACTGCTGTTATGCCCTCTGGCCCAAACCTGACAAGACTGAAAATGCAAAGGTTTATATAGATCCTAACCCCCGAGCAGACCCGTTGTCTGAAACTTCAGCACCAATATTGGGGGAGGTGGGTCGGAATGATTCATGATAGTATCCCCTTATACAGTTTCAGTACGAGTATACTACCAGACACCCGACACCTTATTCTACTAGTGAGACACGTATATTATCACCCTACCACAAACGATGGCAAAATAAACTCTACACCCCATAAAACCCTGATAGAACCCCACAAAGCCCTGATTCTAAATACCGCCCGGTAACATTCTAAACCTATCAAAAGAACTCACGGTGCTTCCTGAGACCCGGGGGGGGGGCCTCCTTTGCCCTAGCAGGCGGCTATTGTGATTGGTGTGCTCCCTGTCCTTGTTTGCTTTCAGGTTCCTTTTGGCATTCCATAAAGAGGGGTTCTAAAAACCCTAAGCCCTAAACCCTCTAAGCCCCACAGGCCCTAGAAGGGTTTAGGATCGTTTAGGACGTGCGGGCTTAGGACTTACTGGTCTAGGGCTGGCGGTTCCAGGGTCCAGGGATTTGGGTTTAGGGGTTTAGGGTTTAGGGTCTACGGTTTAGGGAATTCGGGTTTAGGGTTTAGGGATTACGGACAGTTTGCAAACATAAGATGATAATCCGAGTGCTCTCAGTGCGACTTTGCTGGTATCCCTACTTGGTATCGATGGCGTTCCTGAACAAAGCCTTGCTGGAACTGGCATTGTCTTTTTGCAGGCGGGTAGACAGACACATAGGTATGTATGTCTGTATGTATGTAGGTATTGCTTCAATGCATGTACTCTGTTGCATTTGCATTGTTGCATTGCATGTGCATTTGGATTTGCCTGTGTATTTGCATTTGCATTGCATTGCATTGCATTGCATTGCATTGCATTGCAGTGTGTTGTTGTGCGATGTATTGTATTGCATTGTATCTGCTCTTCCGAGCTTTACCTCTAAACCCTAAACCCTAAACTCCCTAAACCGCTTGGAAAGCTCCCGCAGCCCAGAAGTCATCCAGCTCAGGCTCATGCCTGCGATCCTGATTTCCTTCCTTTGCCTCTTGGAGCACTGCGAGTGGCACTACGTCCGGACGCTATTTCCTACAGGAGACTTTATCCGAAAATCACGCTATTATAGACCCTGCACAACCTGTTCTTCAGGCCCAAGACCCAGGAATTGCAAAACAAGCCCAAAACCCTAAACCCCCCTTAAACCCCTACACCCTGAACCCTAAACCCTGAGCCAACTACCCCAGAGGAACTCCATAAGGTGGAGAACAAAACTGACCGGCTCCCGCCTGATTTTCTAACCTCACACGCCTGGTAAGGTTAAACCCTAAACCCTAAAGCCTCTCTAGGGCCATAAGGCCTCAACTCTCAAGCCTCTCTAGGGCCTTTGCAGACCCGAAACCCCCTAAACCCTCAACCCCCGAACCGAAACCCTACAACTTCCGATTACTTCGGAGTTCCCGTTGCTGAGTCTCTTTGTTTTGGAGGTTTTTGTTGTCTTGCTTTGGGTTGGTTCTAACATTTGTGTGTGTGGAGATGGGTTCAGGGTTTGGGGATTCAAGGGCTGGAGGCCTCCAGGGTTCAGGAGTTCGGGGTTTGAGATGCGAGCTACGCATCGAGAGACCGTGGACCTCGAAGTTCACCCCGGGCCTGGAATCCTTCACAGGGTGCCCTAACGGTTCAGGGTGGGGTCTTCTTTTAAAGCCATAAAACAGCTCAGTAAAGTCTGCACAGAGACTAAAACTCGAATCCCTCGACTCGAATCCCTGGAGGAGCCTTGCCGTACACACCCCTCCTCCACGGCTGTTTAGCCCGACTCCGGCGCTGGAGTCGCAGATGACCGAAGCACGTGCTCTCGAGTACACCTGGCCAAGGGTGTGGTGTGACAAAGTTACAGTACCCTAAACCCTGAACCCCGAAGCCCTCAACCCGAAACCCTAAACCCTGAACCCTGAATCCTAAACACTTACATAAACCCTAAACAGTTAAGGGCATGCCGCTTCAGGAGCACTTGTGGTAAGGATCCTGCTCTTTGGATTCTCTACTAGGGTCCCTAGTTTTTGAAATTCCAATATCGTTATATATCAATATATATAGAGAATATAAATATATATACATGTATGTATGTATGTATGTATGCATGCATGCATGCATGCATGCATGCATGCATGCATGGATGGATGGATGTAGGTAGGTAGGTAGGTAGGTAGGTAGGTAGGTAGGTAGGTAGGTATGTATTTAAATATATGTATATATATATATATGTATATATTCTGCATGCATGCACGTATATGTGTATATATATATATATATTACATGGCCGAAGGTTGCAGTGCAAGGCTAATAGCTGTTCAGGCCCCGATAGGCTTCCGAGTCCTTGGCCTGAAGGTCCGGGCAGCACCGAAAAGTGCACCGAAAAAGTCGGAGCTTGACAGTGGGTCTTGTCGTACTCGTGCGAAGATGTCCAAAAGGGACCATCCGAACTTTCCATATCGGGGGTTGTTGTGTGCGAAAGATGGTGTGAGTAACAGGTCGCCATAGTCCGCTGACAGCACGTTTTTCCTAGGTTCGTGGGGCTGTTCTTGCAGCGCAACTGGGTCACCACGACGACGCAGTAGGTTTTGCTGGGGAAGATTGATAGTGGCGGCACATGTCAGAAGATCTTGAGCATAGCAGCCACAATACTATGCAGCAAGTTGTAGCAATGTCAGTTGCTCGCAACAGTTGGGATGGTAGATGCTAGGCGGATATCGTATAAACTCATACCGACTCATACCTGTCGCTGTTTTCATTAACTTGCAAAGGTGTGCAAGAGGGTTATGATGCATGTCTCTGATCATGCTCCGAGGCATGTTGCATAAGTTGACTGGGTTGTTGTGCTACTGTTACGAGAACCTGATGGCAGGGCTCTCACGTCTCAACGTCTTAGAATATCCCGTGCCGGGTTTCTTAAATTGCTCCAAAACCCCTGAAATGACCCGGACCTACCGAAACCCTTGAACCAGGACTGCAGCCTAAAACCTCAAAAGACCCTAAACTTTAAGCCGCCCTAAGTCGCAAGGCTTAGAAATCGCTCTAAGTCCTAAGTGCTTTGGGTATGACGAGCGTGAGTGAGTGTCCATGCGTGTCAGCCTACGGGCTTGTGATCCTGAGGCCGACGGCCGGCACGCCCGAAATTCACGAGAGGCGGCTTTCCCTTAGCATCAAAATAGCCCAAAAGCCTTATATAATCGGGTCTTTGGGCCCAAAAGCCTTAAAATATGAGTCCTTGGATGCTAAGGGTTTCTGAGTGTGGAGCGGATGTCAATCGACTGAAGTAACGTCGGGGCTTAGGGGTAGCGTTCAGTGAGGACTTGGTGCACGTATGCAGGGATCGTTAATTGAACATTTGGGGCTCCATTGTAAGGATACTTGTAGTATGGCTTTACTTCAGATAGTTGCCTTTGTTTGGCAGTCTCTTCGTGCTACGTCGAAGCATTGAGACATATTGAGAAAACACGTTGAAGGCCACTTCAAACAGTCCTTCCCGCAAGGACTCGCCCATGCGAAGACAGCTTCCAGCTGTTGGGGCTCGAAGTACAGCAGAAACAGGAATTGCAAAACCTGGCTCTTTTCTCTATACTAGTTGGGCTTTTGGCAAAGATGACTCGTGTGCAGGATCCTGCACACCGAACCTAGCAATGCTGGCTGCCTCAAGCTGGTCATCCGTAGGCAGAGCAAAAGCAGATAAGAGTGTTGTGCGTGACAAGGTACCAGAGCAGCAAAAGAGGCACAACAGGCAAACTAGAAGCAACGGCTGAGCAGGAGTGCTATGTCGCCGTGCCGCCTCCCGACCGATGTCGTTAGCAAGCTTTTCTCTACAGTACTTGAAGAACCTGTCCCTTGTCGCAGGTCTGTGGCGACTTCTGCTACATCTGCTGCTGATCCTCTGGTGGTGCCTTAGTCGTGTCATTACACCATAGACACCAGAACCAGGGACATCAGTGCGTGCTGTTATTCATGAAGACCGCATGAATGTTCAGAATCGTTTGAATCGTCCTCACAATGATGTAGCAGCAACAAAAGCGCCACCATCACCGTTGGCAGAACCGACTGTCATGATCCCGTCGACAACATTGTCGTCGTGTCCGTCGCTCTCCCGTCACCTGCATTGGCACCATCACTACCGCAATTGCAAAAGAGCCAAGTGCCGGTACTACCCAGGGTGTCACATGGCGCAAGACTCCGCAGCACTGGATTGCACCGTTGAGTGCTGAACTGCACATATGATCCAGGTTTTGTTTGTTCAGACATTAGTAAGTCGAACGCATGCGATATGTCAGTCACCGCCCAACCGTGAGTCACAAAATCTGAAGCTGCATCCATGCAACACCTCAAGGGTGGGGATGCTTTTAGCAAGAAGCGTGGTACTTCAGTTCAACTCCCCGGGAAGAAGTTAAGGCAGCTAAGATTTCATTCAAGTCCATGGTAGCAACTGCCAGGGGAACGGCTCAGGGAGTTGACCTTGTTGTTCATGATGCCTGTAAGT